TTACTGAGAGATGCTACACTTCAAGTTACTGATGCAGGGTCTTGAAAATTCTGAGGGGCAAATTCACAGGTTCTCAGAAGGTTAGGGCTAGAAGGGACCTCATGAGATCATCGGGTCCGGTCACCCTGCTCTGGGCAGAAAAGACTGCTGGGGTCAAATAACCCCAGCAAGGTGTGTGTCAATTCATCTTGTGTATAGTACCAGCACAAGCACATGTTCATATTCTGGTTAAGTCCCGAACAGTACTTGTTTTAAGGGCACAAGTGGTTCAAGGTCCAGTGCTCAAGGGTGTTTCCCACCCTATTTGCACGTTATGTTCCATTATAAGCTTTAAGAACAGAAACTTGTAGTATTAAAAATCACAGAGAACTGGGACCAGCCTTGACAAAGACCCAAATCCAAGGTGATTGGATGATGCTCCTTAACTGAGGTGCCTATGATAAAAAGGACAGTCAAGCCATCTCTAATTCATTCAGTGCACTGTATTTATTTAAATGACACAATAAATCTGGGAATCTCATGGGACCAAGGGAATTTACTTTTGTTTGAGTCATAATCTGGAAAGGTAGATATAGCACAAAAATGTAAAATAGTTTGTTGTACTGGGGATCATCATTATATTCTGTGTTGATGCAGCAGCAAGCACAGTAGGGGCCTGGTCTGTGACTGGGGATTCTAACTATGGCTACAGCACAACAAAATTATAGCCAAGCATTTTTTATCATCAGTTAAGGTTCAGGGTTAAAGGTTTAAATTTATGTTTGAGAACAAAAGTTCACATGGATTCATGTTTCATTCACTCTGATTCATCCTTAATGCTGTTTGATCCTTTCCTTCATAATATTTCCCTGCATAACCTTATATATGTATTTTCCAGTCACAAAATTAATATGCAGTAGAAACAGTGCAAGCTTTTATAATGTTCCAGCTATGAACTTGTTCCAGTGATTATTGGAAGTCAGTGGACAGACTTTCACTGATGAAAAGTAGTTTTGGATCAGGCCCTTAAAGAGAAGGTCATGTATGCACTGCCTGCTGCATGCTAAATCCACATTCGTTCACAAGAACAGGTCCCAAGTTGTTAAGTGGCAACTGGCTCCACAATGAATTTATGCACCACTTCTCATCCCCATTAAAAGTTTTCTTGTGCTGTTGAAGCATGGTGGTTTCAAAGAGACTTACCACTTTAGTCTGACCCAAAAAAGGAAGCAATAGAAAAAAGAACAGTGGGAATAAAACTTCCTGATGGAAATACTGATGAGGTCTTACTCAGTGATAAAACCTGTTTGCCACCCCCCACAGTTCCATCAAGAACGCAAAGAAAACAGCTTTTACATTTAGTGGGAACCACAAATTCTGATTCAAATCATTGCTAAACTCTCAGGAGCACCCAGAGAGCTTTTCCTAGAGCTAAGTCATGGACTGCTATCAATACAGCATCAAGACTAAGCAGGGAGACATGTGGGTGTTCTTGGTCCTTTCTGTGTCTTGGTGGCTATTGGTATGAAGCTCAGCTTTCTCTTCTTGGCCCCGTTACTCAACAAACACTAGAGACAGACAGAAAATAACAGTAAGCATGAGAGTCTGACAGAAATTGTCTGGGATGGGAAAGTGCATGTTGTTCCATACATGAAGCTGTATGCAATTCCAGGCTGGCCTTTTTTGCGGGGGGTAGAATTTAACAAACCGCCAACAAGAATCTTGTTTAATGGGTCTGCTTTACTGAAATAAGCAATTTAGGACAAATAATAACGTCCATCCTTATTATAGTGAACCCTGTTTGTTAACAAACCCTAGCTTTTAATGATCCCAACAGCAGGAACCAACATTTTTCTCATTATTGTGATACAGCCAGTCGAACGTGAGGATCTTGGATTGGCCTCCTCAATCACCTATGGACTCACCGATGACTTTCCCATTTACTGGAAGACTGTCATCCTTGTATCGAGGGACTGCCAACGACAATGCAGCCAATTGACTAACCCTATTATAGTGAACACCCTCTCTTAATGAACTTTTTTTTCCCAATCCCAAGGGGGTTCATTATAATGACTTTGTACTGTATATATTTTTAGTCACTCAGCAGTGCTGATGAGTCTGCCCTGAGCAATGTGTGGACATTGCTACACTTCTTCTAGCCAGGGGTTTAGTGTGTATGGAGCAGTGCACACTTCATATAGTCTTAGATAGATGAATTGCTGTGTGCTAAAATATGGCTACTTCACTCCCTCTCAGAAAGGCTGTCTTCAGTAAAACAAAGCATTATACACCTGGGCACATATCAGGCCAATACCTGTTCACTTAGCTACCACTTTCAAGCTCAAATACAGCTTTCATTTGAATTTTAAAACGTTCTGATTGATTTTTTTTTTCTTTTTCTCCCTTTTCTCTCTCTTCTACAGTGCTATGGCTACCTATTCCGCCACATGTACCAATACTAGCCCAGCACAGGGCATGAACATGGCCAACAGTATTGCCAACCTGAGACTGAAGGCAAAGGAATATAGTTTACAGAGGAATCAGGTGCCAACAGTCAATTAAAGACTGCTGCTAAGTCTTAAAGAAGGGAAAAATAAAATGACACCTGTCCTGCTTAGCAACTTGTTCAGAAAGAGAGGGCCACACACACACACACACACACACACACACACA